TGTGGAATTGCCAGCAGATCTCTGCATCTAGTTAGGTGACTTGCTCAGAAGACGAGCAGACCCTCGAGTGAGGGGAAGTCCTCACCCTACCTGAATGCTTCCTGAGATGATGTGCACCTAGGGCCTAGCAGAGGTGGGCGAAGGGGGACCGGGGAGCTCTGGTAACACCGGCCAGAGATTGTGTGTGAACACAGCCATTGTCCAAACAAATAATTGTGGAAGTCCCCTTCCCACCCCTGTGACCTGTGGGAGCACTTTCGGGCAGATGTCAGGCTCAGTGGAAAAGAGCAGAAAGGGCAATGCCAGGTGGCCAAACCTTGTGTGCCTCTGGCAAGGGGAGATGGAGAACTCGTACAGACAAGCATCCTGAAGTCCATAGATGCAAGAAACATCTCTGAACCACAGTTATCTGACAAAGATTTGCTCTTTTCGTTGTAATTCAGTGGATCTTCCACTTATAAATCCCCAAAATCCAGCTATGTCTTTTTGGAGACCACAAAAATAAGTGGAATAAGCCCACTAAAATTTACCCAGCTCTGAAGCCATTATCTCTAATCCTGCACAACGTTAAACTGTCCTAAGGAAATGAGAGTGTTGTGTTCTGGAAGAATGGCAGATTTGCTCTTCTGAGGAGGGAAGGAAGCAGGTGGATGGCAAAAGGTCCTCCTAAAAAGCATGGCATTCAGGAAGATAATTCCCCCAGGGATTAAATGAAAACACACATTCTTTAAGCGCCCCCCTGCAGAGGAAATGTGGAAATCTCTGCTTTGGGGCTTAAAAAGAAGGCTTGGGTTTGCTTACAGGTATATGAACAAAAGAAAAGGGAGCCCAGCTCGCAGCAAGTGGAGCTGGGTCTGTGCCTGGGGGAGGAGTGATTAGCCTAACCACAAAGGAATGACTTTCCCTTGAAACAGAAGGTTGAGACCATATTTTTGGGGAAGTCAAGAGTAGGAAATAAGCTAACAGCTGTGATGGTGCTGAATGCAGGTTTAATTAATTTTTTTTTTTCTTCCTGCAAGTTGTAGCCAAAGAGCCATCAGAGAGAGCTGGGTCATAATTCCACCTTTTTTTTTTTTTTTTTTTTTTTTTTTTTTTTGGTGAGCTTCCAAAGGTTAGTGAGCTGCTAGGAGATGTTCAGTGATATCTGGGTCAACTGAGCATGCTTTTTAGGCTATAACAAGATAATGTCTCCCACTCCTCTCTGCTCTCTGCTGTCCTGCCTCCAAATCTGATCATCTCGCATCTTTTGGCCTTCTCCTAGCATTTTTGCAGTAGGTAGGAAATGACAAAATAGTGCAGTCACACAGGACAAACAGAAGACTCCACACAAGCAGAGCTGTTCTGGTTACGTATTTCCATATCCTCTCCTTTGCTCTCTTTGATGCTCACCCCTTTTCTGCCGCAACATTTTGTGAGGAAATGCACTTAGAAATAAAATATTTGGGAAAAATAAATGATCCCTGGAAAGGTTTGTCAAAAATTTCTTTTTGGCAAGAGGAAATGCTCAGGGAATCTCTGTGACCTATTGAAGCAAGGGGTGGATGGGGAGGGAATTCTGCAACGTATGTATGTACAACAGCAAGTTTCTGCAGCCATCTTGTTGATGTGAAGAAAACTTTAAATATCACCACCTTTTGTTTCTTCTCACCTGTGCAAACTTCCACCAGAGCGGAAGCAGTTAGCTGGTTCAGAGGATGTGTTGCTTTGTAATGCCAGACGCAGGCGGCAGACTGTTTGTGTGAGATAGGATTCTGCCTCTTGGAGAGGATGAAAGGACACAAAGGGTCGAGAAAAAAAGAGCAACAGCAAGATGAAATAGAGATTAATTTTTACCTCAAATAAACCCCTAGCAGCAGTACAAGAACTCTGACAGAAAAGTCCTCTCTAGAGCTCAACAGGTAGGCAGGACTTTGTGATCCCTCCAGTCCACCGTGGGGCAGGAGAGATGAAGGACAGGGACCTACAAGGTCCTTTCCTTCAGTCTTGAATTATGTAATCTCCTTTGCCTGACATTACCGTTCCCAGCCCACAGACAAGGGTCTGCCTTGCCCTCTCTGTCTCCCCTTGTGTGAGCCAGGCAAGCTGTTTTTCCATTTTATGGCTTGGCCCAAACTGCCTGCACTACTGGGGACAGCCATTTAGGCCAGGATGGGCCAGAGGATCCTGCTCTGTCCAGCCACAGAAATTACTTCAAGGTCTCCACCTTGCACTGAGCAAACAGCCTGTTTAAGATCCCTGAACGAATGGCTAACACAAGGGTCATATTTTCTCTAGGTTCCCTCTCGCTGTGGTTGTTGCCTTCCTGTGTGCTCCTGTAGAGTAGGAAAGAAAAAAATTAAAGAAACAGAAGAGAGTCCTAGGAATATTCGTGCTTGGTTTCCATCCTCCACCTCTGAAATGGATAGGGAATGGAAGAAGCCTAGAGAGCACACTGATGGAGATGCTGCTGCCAAGGAAATCTTTATTTTATAGCACAAAAACAGCTTGCTGGACACACATCATATCCAGACAGTGAGCAACATGGTTATTACACAGAGAAATGAAAAGTAACTAATATTAAGACTTCAGTATCCTCAGATGCCCTTAATTAAGTAATTTAAAATTAACTTGAGGCTTACAGTCATTGAAGCAATTTGTTAAATACAGCCTAGAAAATCTAATCTGGAGGTAGGTGCCTACAGGACACTCAAAAAGCATTTGATCCTGAAGGAGAAGGTGGCCATAAAATACAATGCAGGCAAGAAAAGTAATAACAGCGAAGCTCATCCTGTCAACAGGAACGGAATCACCATTATTTTTGTATTCTGCATTTTTTCTAATTTCAGGTTCATTTGCTGACTAGGGTTGAACAGCCATCCCTCACTGCGAGTCACTATTTCAATTGCCTGAGCTCTTGCAGAAGGCTGCTCCAGCCCCGTGAGAGCGGCAGCCAGCACAGAGAGGAGTGGCGAGGCAGCGAGGCTGCTGCTGCTGAAATTAACCGAAACAACATTTTTGGCTGCTCAGGCCTCTGAATTCCCTCAGTAAGCCTCAGAAAGTGCCATCTGGTCTGAACATGACACCCCGTGTCAGGACCCTGCTTTGGAAACTGAGCGGGGCGGCCTGTGGGCTGCTTGCTTCACCTCATAAGCATGGCCAGGGAGGGTGCCTCATGGCCTCCTGTGCTCTGCTTAGCGTTCAGCAGATTTTGGCACTGTGACAAGCTTTTGGCACCGTGACCCTCAGCAGGGTCACGTCCTGGAGGATGGGACCTGCTCCTGGATGGACAGGGATGGAGGTGCACAGCCACCGTCCTCCTGTGCCTGGCTGACGGGGAAGCGACATGGCGGAGAGCGTCGCGGCCCTTCTGCCCCGGTGTGCTGAGCACAGGTCTCTGACGGGTGGAGGAAAGCAGATTTAAGATCAACTGAAGGCAAGAAAGTGTTTTGCATGAGTTTCTGCCCTGCTTAGGAGCTTTTGTGGCCCCGCACAGTTAAAAGCTGTCTCCCGCTCACCCCACCTGGCACAACTCCCTCAGGACTGATCCAGCATAGGAACCGGTACAGCACAAGCAATTAGCTGATACGACCCCTTCTGCTCTGTGGGAAGGGCTCAAAACTTGCCCCCAGATGGGTCCTTCTGAGAGAGAAGCCTTCAGCTGTGACACAGAGCACACTTCTAACATCTTTTTCAAATAATAATGTTGTACAGAGGAACTTTAAGCATTAATATGGGCTCTATCACTGTTTATTTATTTCTCTCTGCACTTAGGAAAGGTGGCAATGTCACACAAATCACCAAATCCTCCCGTGCTGCCTGCTTTATGCAGCCGACAGCAAACCTGGAGCCAGGGACACCCATCCCTGTGCCACCAGCATTTTCCCAGCCGGGATCCCGGCCTCCCCACCTCCAGCCTGCCCTGGCTGAGGGGAGCAGGGCTGGATCCATGCAGAGCCCAAAAACACAGAGAGTTGTGTATTGAGGCGACACACCACAACGTGCCACTGGTCCCCATGGGTTTCTGGGGTCCCTGACTGCCCTGCTGGCAAGAGGGGGATGCTGTGGGGAGACAGAGACCTCCCCGGGCCCCGGTGGGAGCTGGATGCGGCCCAAGCGCGAGGGCGCATCGTCTCCAAGATACAGTGGCTTGGGGTAGCTTGTCCCAGACAAAGAGCATTATAAGGGAGCCACTGCTGGAAATTTCCATTCCTTTGTCGGGTGGATGCTGTGTAAATAAATGCATTCCTAAGATTTTTCATAATCCCGGAAAGGTCTGTAAAAGAAGCTCTGCAGCCTGTCAAATCGCTAGCGTTCATATATATTATTCCTCAGCCGCCGAGCACACGATATACAATGGCAGAGAACATAAAACAAGAAACGTATGCCAAAGGCTTTCTTAGAAGAAGTCTGTGCATTCGCATACGGTGCGTTCAGATATTTCTCCTGCTTTACTCGTTGGGATCTAAAATATTCAACCCATAATATGGCTTGGGTTTGTGAATTACCGACCTTAACTCTAAATAATCCTTACCTGACAGGCAACTTTGGTGGCAGCGTTTAGCTCCCTATTCCCTGGTCTGATGTGCAGGTGCTTTGAAAACATTTATAAATTAGTACACGGTGTAAATGTGTAAGCAACCTTTTACTTGACACTTCTGTTCTTCCTTCTGTCTGAATCTTATTTTAAAAAGGGATGATTCAGCAAGATCCGGTTACAGTAATGATACTGTGCCTGATGTATTTACAAATTAAGTGGCTCAAGAATGCACTTCTAAAGTCCCACTTACTTGTCATATGCAAACAGATAGAGCAGGTATATTCATGTATCTGATGTATTGGTACTGTAAACACGGGGGCTACATACACAGTAAAGAGCAGCACTTTCACTGATAGAAGCAAGATCTTTTTCTTGAAATAAGCCAGCAGCTTCTCCCACTAACTCTGCTCCCTTGGACTCAGTTAATCTGGATTTATAAACTCAATTCTCATTTAATGCATCTCAAATACTTCAGAAATTTAGTCTTTTAGTCTACCAAAACAATGTTTATTACATTTCTTCTGCATTTTTGAACACACTCTGACATTTATGTTATACTTACATTTTCCCAACAGCTACCCCTGCTTTCTTTATGATAAAGTTTTTAGTCTTGGAAATCACATCCCCTAATAACACAATTTTACCAGAACAATACTGAAATGATACAGAAATAATACTTTTCATTTTCAGATCTCAAAGTTCCAGACAAAAAAAAAAGAACATTTAATAAGTAATTTTATAAAATACAAAATGTACTTTCTCAACTTTTGTCTTTTATTTGTCCAAAATACATCAGTACCATTCCCTTCCTGCATATGCTATTTTTCAGTTACAAAAAAAATAAATCCAAACAAAACAGCCTAGAAGCCAAACCAAAACAACCCCCCAGATAGGACTTTCTCTGTAATGTAAGCCCAAGTAATTTTGGCCAGCAAAGTCTCTAATTCCCTTCTGTTTGGACACTGTCACAGCATCTCCAATTCTGTCATGCTCATCTGAGAGTCAATTTTTTACTAACTTCAGTACTCACATTTGGGGGCTGCTCTGCCAAAGCATTTCAGCTTCCAGGATGAAGGCTTCAGCCTTCTCTCAAAGAAAGATTATTATGGTAATTGTCTCTCTCAAACTGGAACAGATTATAAAAGCTTATTACTACTGTACTTTAATATAAAATACTGTCGACCAAGGGCAACAAACTTTTAAACCAATTAACAGCAAACTGTGATCCCAGAGACTGAAGACCAGTAACGTATCTACCATGCAAACAGCCACACAAACCCCTCACATTTATTTTTTCCAGGCTTTCAACTTTGATTAATAACATGGCAGAAGCACGCAAGCCTCAACCATATTAACCGCAGCTACATTTTCAGTCTCAATGACACGAACATTTTAATAAAATAAAAGGAAAAGGAAAACAGAAGAGGTGTTTCATTAGGACATGAGGATTACTAAAACCACTGCGTGGAGTATTTGTCAGGAGGTGGCATGGGAAGAGTTATTACTTACATTTTAGCATGTCTCTAGGATGCAGAGCCAGAGGCTCCCTTAGTGAGATGTGTTTGCTTTGGAAAAATATTAAGTAATCAGCCTGCCCAAGCTCTTCTTACTGACACATTTATAATACCAAAATGCAAGCCCAGCTAAGAAGTTTGCAGGGAACACCGCAAGGAAAACTATTTTTCCAAATTTATTATGAAGCCCAGCAATACTGAAGCAATGCAATATCCAGAAGTTCACAGAGTAGCCTGCCAGTCTTTTTTTCCTGATAGATGACTACATGTAAAAATATACGAAGCAGTTTAACCTGGTTGGTTAAAAAAATGCTCCAAGCCACTAACCCCCACAAATCTGTACTTGTCCCCGATTGTAGACGCTTACAGCCTATTTAAAAAGAGCTTATTAAAAAACAAAAAATAAATAAATGGGTGATATAATCAAGAATTATGTTAATAAGATGACAGCTTCAAAATAAATCTAAATAATACAGAATGCTTAAATCTTAAACATCTGTGGCTTCAATACTGTGTGATACCGGGACTTGTTCAAATGATGGGGGTATTCCTTAGATGAGACTCTGGCATTAAATTCACAGTTCAGTGAAAAGTATTTAACAAATCATTGTGAAGTTGAATATTAAAGTTGAATTAAAAGTATTTTACGGGCAATAAAAAACAGCAATATTTGGCTGCGTATGTCACTTGGCTTTTTTCATTCCTGCATCTACCTGCCTACACACTTGCTCTTGCAGTGCCTTTATAAGGATGCCTTTTGTAACAGATTCGAGCTTTGTAAAGCAGAATAACGTACAAAACTGGTTGTGGTTTTCTATTTCCAAATAACCAACAGGAAGACCTTTCGGAATTGAGATACAGAACAAAGAGATACCGGCATATAGCATAATAACGGTGACCCTGAAATAACTGCTCAGGATGGCACCCAAATACGATAGTAATGGGTGTATTAGAAACACCTCGGTACCTCAGACGGGCTCGCACAGAGAAGGGCAGACCCACAGCAAACACCTTGCCACACTTTTATCCTGAGATGAAAGCAACATTTCTGCTTTGACCATTTTTAGAATTTGTAGCACACAACATCTGGGGCAGCCGAGAAGCAGGGGAAGGGGGACAGGGCACGCTCCAGCCCAGTGCTACCCACCAGCAAGCAAAGAAACGCGCAGAAGACCTCTAAGCAACACTGGAGAAAGCGAGAACCTATGCACAGCTTTATGTATGAGCTTCGTAACCAAAGATAATTTTTCCCACTTGAATCACGGGCACGCACGTGTAAACCATTTCTGCTCGCCCGCGCTACCTGTTCTGACATCGGGACTTTGCTTTTTGGCTCTCCCGGGTTTGGCTGTCACTAAGACAAACATATTTCGCCACAACTTTTTTTCGCTCAAAAAGAGGCAAACTGGATTACAGCAAATAACCTTTAAGATAATTAACTGACAATGCCGCAACTAGCATAAAATCTTCCTTCAGGCGACCCCTAATTTAAGTATTACTGGCACAAAGTGGAGACAGATTGTGCATCACCACCGCAATATTTACATAGCAGAAACCCACAGAGCAGGAAACGTGAGACTCAATGATGCACTAAATTAGGAACAATCATATTCTAGTGTTAATTTGCTTTCCACTCCATCCAAATTTCAGGTCCAGCAATTGGTACAAATGCACATAAAACATTCCCATTTTTAATGATTAAAACCCCACAATCTGCAAGCAGTTCTGCTTAGAAGTAAATCCACTCGCTGCTGGGGACGTTTGCAGGATCAACCCCCCAAAAGTGAAGCAGTTTTACCAACGCAGAGATTTTCTGACAACCACGTCTTCCTCATCTGTTTCTCCCTTTCCATAAATGATGTCTGCACAAGCAGTTTGAGTCTTCTGCCAGGCTACCTGCCTCTTGCTTGCAAGTACTTTCCTTTGACTGTCAGACCGTGATTCTGCGACACATCTGAAGTAGTTTTAACTCTCTGATGCTGTAGATATATGCATGTAGTCAAAAGGCTCTGTACTAAAAGAATTAGAGTTAAAACATGGGGAAAAAAGGACAGCCAGGCTATTTGTAAACACTGCCGGAAAGTGTCACATTTATCATAAATATGCACTCTGTAGTCTAGATCCGGATCCAGATTTCACGAACATGACTCAAACGCAGCACGCTTTGTAAGATAAACGCAAACAGCCATCACCGATCTCTCTAAATTATAGATATTATTCAAATTTGGTTTCCACGACATTATATTAACAAAATATTTACCTTTCCTAATCGCTGATGCTCTTCAAAAGCAGAAATCAATTCCTGCGCCCACTTTACTTTTTCAGGGCTGGGAGAGAACTGTTCCTGGACAACAGCAATTTGGTTAGGGTGAATCACCTGCTTACCTACAAAGAAGATTAATAACACCAGAATCATGCATCGACAAACAGATGTTCAAACAAAATGTTCCAACCACTTGAGGCTCTCCTATGCCTCACAGACTTTCTGCTATTTAACTAATTATTTCACTCGTTTTCTTTTATTATTTCACTGGACAACACGCAGATAGCCCTTTGCCAGATTTTTGAAGAAGAAAAATATCTTGAGCAATACTTGCGTTCGCTAGCGTTTAAAGGAACCCAAAACTCTTTCTCCTTCCTCCCTATTTCAGTCCATGCATCTTCCATTGCTCATCTCAGGTGGAATTGTTTGTCCGGGGCAGTCGGTAATGTCTGAGTATAACGCACCTCTGAATTTTAGCTACAGAAATAGCAGCTCCAGCCAATCATAAATAAGTTGCGTTAAAATATGTTTGGAAAATGAGATTTGCAGAACTGAAAAGTTACCGGTCACATCAGGATCGTCCTTAGCATTGGCTTAGCATCATGAAATCCCCAACACTGCTCACATTTCTGTTGTTGCAGCAGTTTGCAGGTGCAAGTAGGTCGGGATATTTGTTTAGTCACCGATATATTAAACAACTGCCAGAGGTGCCCTGAAGTGTTACGAAGCACTTTTTTTTTTTTTTTAATCCTTTCTTGTATGAACACACATTAAGAAAATAAAAATAGGTGTTGCCTTTTTTACTAGAGATTTTCAAATGTGAATAGACAGCCACATAATCCGTTCTAATCTGTTATTGTCCTTAGCTACATTAAAACAAATACATATCTAATTTGTTTGACAGTTTTAAAAGTGTGGCACTTGACATTATTAGTCCATTGCTAAGGGAATTTCACAGACGGCGTGATTGCTGCACAATTACCCGCGCCGTGCCGTAAGAGTGTTTTAATAAAGCGAGGCTGCCGTAACTCCCAGCTCCTCAAAACCTCGCCGCCACACGAATTAATCCCCTCTACGCCACACAGCAGAACTAGTCCCAGCGACGAGCCTGATCCCGTGAACCTCTCGTGCCTCCCAGCCCCACATCACCAGCCGCAGCGGTCCCACAGAGCCCGGGCACCACGGGCACGGGCGAGGGGCTGGCAGCTGCCCCTGCTCCTCCGCTGGCCCTAGCCTGGTGCCCAGGGACCCCAGGGGACCCAGGGGACCTTGCGTGGGCATGTAGTGGGTGATGGGCACTCGTGGGGTGACCCAGGGTGCCCACAAGTGCCCATGGGGTGCAGCAGAGCCCGGCGAGGCTTCCTGCATGGTACAGGACGGTTTGGGATTGTACTTGTTGGGAGTAAGCTAGAAACAGGCACACTGCTACGTGTAATAGGTCTCACGCCTCGCCACACATTTGCGCCTATTTTAAACGACAGAGTGACTGGGGGAAAAAAAAATCGGTCACCGGGATTACTTTTATCGGACTGCACCAGCTCTCGGAGATAAATGTGCATTACAACGGAGTTTGTGAGCGCGGGAGCACGATCCGCTTGGTTTTGGTAAACGAATAGTAACGTTTAATGCTGCTGCATTTCTTTAAAAAAGCCCCAGACAGTTCCATTTTTTTTTTAGTTCCCATTAAGCAATTGTTCATTTATGATCTTCAGGGCACCCAGAAATTCCGTCTGAAATTTCAATGCGGAAAATACTTTAAAATAGTTTTAAAACAGCAAAAAACTTAAAACTCCATAAGATCTGTAGTTTTTCAAAGCAATTACATTCAGACAAATTCCCTTAACTAATATGTTTTACATTAATTCCAATCAAAGCTATTTTATTCAATTTTATTAAATGTCACCATTAATAAGCTTACGATGCTCCTAATTTTTAATATGACCTATTATAAACTAATACTAAAACTGAAGTGCGCACAAGTAATTCCTGCAAAACCCTGTAAAGCCTGACCTTCTGGGAAAAATAAAGAATATTTTTAAAATTATACTTAATCTCTAATTATGACAAAAATAAAAATATGCATATGTGAGTTTTTAAAGTGTAAAACATTCCTGTAAAAAGATTTTCTTTTGATACAAGTATCTGTAGCTGGAAACTACACTATGTATCATTAAAACATTACTGAACAATTTACAGAGCATAAAATCGAACCTTTGATTTACGGCACTCAGTTGATTTTTGTCACAGATTATGTATCCAAATAACTGTATAATAGACGTAATGCCATGCAGGAATGAAGCAAATATTTTAAGCGGAATTGTTGTTATTGACAAGTTACTGAGAGAGTGCAAAATTGGAAGACATTAAAATTTATTACCATGAAATCCTTTTTACAGTACCACTTGATATATCGTGCTTTAAGTCAATACCTGTCAAGTCTTTTAGGTAACTGTATGACGGTGTCATTTTAGTCTTCTACAAAAGACTGCAACAAGAGAGGAAACCTATGCTGTTTCGTATTTATATCTGGCTTCCCAGCATGTAGCACAGGACTTTCTATAATGACAAAGTCAGCTGTTGAAGCTTATCGCAAGGTTTCCTAAATTTTTTACATAAATTTTCCTAAATCTGATGACCATTTACGCAGGCTGCACACTGCCTTTTAAGTTCATAGTTTATGGCATTATAAAATATCTTGCCAGGTATGCGTGTGTGCATGTGTATATGTATATTGATATATATACAAAAGTTGAATTACTTTGGGTAAATTACATTTGAAAACATTCAATTTAATGCAAACACACTCACCGAAGAAAAAACAGACTGTTCGAAAGGCAGCTGGGAAAGAAAACACTGACAGAGGAACCAAATAGATGGTAAATTCTGGATTACATTATTTAGCTTGTTTCAACATCAGCAAACAGACTCGATTACCTTACAGACGATTTTATTGGTCTAAGCCCAAATGCAAGAAAATCTAAGGATGTAACTTTGCTGAATACTATGGCGTTTATTATTAGTTTTGAGGGTGGTGGATTTCTCCCTATGCATGTGTGTGTTTTGCCAGTTAGCAGGGCAATTGGCCAGCCTTAGCTCATTTTAGTCCTGTTGATTTCAGTAATTTTGATTAAATTTTGATTAAAAGTAGCAAGATGTGATCTTAGATATTTTAAAATAACAAGAATCTTGCGTTTACAATTTGTTATTAAGGCAAAATTGCAGGATTTTAGTATCACATTATTAGACAACTGTCAGTGACAAATAGGATCTATTTTATAGAAGGACATGGATTAAATTAGGGGCCATTCATGAATTTCTGTGATGAATATTAAATTGTAAATATTAAAATGGTTCAATTATACAGTTTTTGAACTAAATGTTTTTCCTTTAAGTTTTGAATGGCATTTTATTTTAACTAAAAAAAGGAAAGATTAAGTAAATTGAAAGCAAAAAAAAAAAAAAAAGAACAAGTGAAACGTTTTGAATTGTCCTTTGGATAGACTAATATGAAAAACTCTGTTTTGTTTTGACTTGAACAGATTTTTTTTTTTTTGTAATTTTTTTTTTTTGGCCACCAAATCAGAAAACTCGATGCTGACCCATCTCTAATTATGACTGGAGTGTTTGTCAGGCTGCTTGCTGCATTTCTGAGACGTGTTGATTACGGTTGCAGGGAGGCAGAAGGCAAAGAGCTGTGAGTTTGTGCTAATGCAGTCGGTAGATTTTACACATTTTTACTTCCCATACAGGCACACAGAAAGGCAAGACACCTTTATGGTCAAGTTAGAAATTAACTTGATGCCCTAAATTGCCACATGTGACCTTTTTATTTGTCTCCTACCTGGGCCCTATCCTGATGTGAAACAACTTCCTACAGAAAGTCAGAGGAGTCTGAAACACCACCAATGCTGTTTATGCTTTGCATTTCTGAATTTTCCAAACTGGCAGCCTGAGCAAAGTATCTCAATGAACATTAAGCATTCAAAAATTGTGCTCTAAAGGTGCTGGGCATCTGCAACTCCATCTTCTGTCAACAGGAGGTTCAGATGCTTAAATTTTTCAAAAATCAAGCCCTTCCTTAAGCTGGAAAATATTGGTCTCGATTACGTAGCCATCAGCAGGTGCTACCATTCAGGAGCTCCATTATTTCCCCCACTTCAATAGCGGACGAATCAAGGGTGGAAGTCCACACGGACAGAGATAATGCTCCGTAGCTGTGAGGAGCTCCCAGCTCTGCCTCTGAAACAAGATCTGCTTTTGCAACTGCTGAAGCTCAGCAGACGGGAAGGCAGAGTTTGTGCTGAGGAGAATCGATGGCTATTCTTTTACTGCCAGGTCCAGATCACGTAAAAGAACTCTTGCTGTATTTGATTACTTGACTGCTTTAAGATATCATATGCCATTAGCTGTAAAAATACAGTTTGCTAGACAACATCATCAGGACCTATTCCTTTGCTAACAAAAACCTGAGCGGCTATACCATTACTGTACATACATCCCCAACGACAGTCAGAGACAAATAATGTAAAACGTCAGTGCTGCATCCCAGAATTCTATAATGCATGTGTCAAATGGCTGATTTCTATTGCAAAAACACAATCTTTGGTGGCTGCACTATCCCACCAGGGTGTCCGAGTGATCTGGTACACCAATCACAGGGTAACAGTCCGCATTACAGGGCTCTGTTGCAAGGAGCCTGCTGGTCTTGCTGTCTGCCAATACCCGTAGGTGTCACCAGCACTTACTGGGAGGGGAGCCAGGAGATGAAAAACAAATCAAAGAAAATAATAAGAAAATAACTTTCCCGTAGCAATTAGCGTGCAAGGTTTGCTTAACAACTCCTTCACCTAAAAAGTACTTTTTAGCAACTGCTGTTTAAAAAATAGGCAAAACAGATCCAAATATTTTAAAAAGTGACTGAAGAGTGGCTGTTGCAAAGTACAGTATCACATCTCCCATGCTCAGTGATGGGAGAAATCATATCCTGCACATCCCCTGCCCCAACTTCTCTTCAAAACACAGCCACACGCTTCAAGGGATGTAAGCTTTAAATAGCAGCCTGTGACTTGTCAGGCAAAATTTCCAGGCACAATGTTACAGCTGCTAATAAACGTAGGTGAGTTTGATTTTTTTTTTTCAATAACTGGCCTGAAATAAAAAAAAAATCAAGTTATTTGTCAAAGTAACAGTAAGAATAGCGATCTGCTTAAATTGAAGAATATAGGCATTATTTTGCAACATCGGCAGAAGCCCATACCGGTGAAACCCATCGAGGCACCTTCTCTTGACTGCCTGCGGAGTCCGTCTTCATCTCGGAAATCGATGTAAACAAGGTCTATTGCTTGGAGGCCAAATGCCTTTGCTGTGACTATTATCTTTTGCCTGGCATAGAGAATATCATGAGTTTCCTTACTGCTAGTTGCACCTATGAAAAGAATGAAAACAAACAGAAAAGAAATATTTTTTTTTCTTATATATTTTCTTATATACTTCCTAGTTAAAAAAAATATAGAAAGAAAGAAAGAAAGAAAGAAAGAAAGAAAGAAAGAAAGAAAGAAAGAAAGAAAGAAAGAAAGAAGAAAGAAAGAAAGAAAGAAAGAAAAAAGTTTGAGATTTCATTTAACTGATTTAGAAAACAAAGTGGGATGCAAGGCTGTATTGTCAGAATGATACTCTTGGGAAAAAAAAAATAAGCTGCTTTAGCAATAGAAATAAATCTCTCTACGCTAGCTTATAAAATTCAGATTTTGATTCATTTCAAATCAGAAGTTGTAAGCCTGAAGTCAATGGAAGTTTTGGCTAGTAAGGACAGTTGAGTTGGGACTAACATGAAGTAATTATCTGATTGCATTATTGTATGTACAGCGAGAAACATTACAGCACGAGAAGCCTTATACAAATCGACACACTGGCTCCAACTAAATGGTTAAAAAATTCACACTGAGAGCAGAATTGCACTTTCCTTGGTTGTGATTCTTGTCACAACGGATGTCCTAAGCTGAATATTTAAGCTTTAGTATTTGGATGAAAAATGATAGTAGACAACTTCTGAGAAGAACCAAAAGTATTCACAAGACTTCATGTGTTCGCAGTGCACCAGCTAAGCTGCATTCTCACATGAAGGCTGGTGTGAAAAAATAATAATATGTTCCCTTTCCTTAGGGTCACTATTTAGACACAGATTTCCAATTTGTAAGGAATAATTTAACAAATCAATGCTAATTTTTTACATTTACATATTTATTTTTAATTTAAACGTCAATACCTCTGAACTATTATCTTTAAACTAAATCAGATTAATAAGGAGATAAATGGCTTTGAATAAAAATGATTCTGAAATACTTTTCATTTTTGAGGAAGATGAATAATGTTTTCACATGAATATATGATAGAGATTGCTGTATTGACATAAAACATATTTAAATTTATCATTGTAAAATCTGACAGGAGAGTATTTGTGGAAGATGTCAAAATCCTGAATGATAATTGATTGTAAAACAGAGATAAAGCAGACATCAGAATTTTATGAATTTATTACTTCTTAGTTCTTAGAAGTGTATTTCTTATGGGCACTACATTTTAAAATAATTTCAGTGACTCGTTTTTTTTTTTTTTTCCCCATTAATTTTTGCTACTGCATGGCAAGAAGCGTAAGAAAGCGTCAGTGCCCTGTAATACACAGGAATCACGTTTTAATTTCCCAGTCATACATCCCACGTTGAAAAATATAAGGAGAAAAGGGAACATGTAAAATGCAGAATCAGGTGTTTTCAGCACTTTACTTATAGCTGTCAGTACAGCAATGGGGATAAATCACATCAGGCTTCTCCAATGCAAATGCCATTAACCCTTATAGTAAGCAGACAGGTAACAACCTATGCTGGCACGGAAATCCTCTCCTCCAAAGACGACTGCGTCCAAATGAAAGCCAACCTGGGATCCTGCTTTCAATGCTTCTTCACAGACAGCCTTCAAATGAGAGCATATCATTAATTTCTACAGAAATGCAGGAAGCAGAGAGACTAAGAGGATATTACATCAACTCAGTACTACCCAAATCTAGCAATCCTTCAGCTAAAATTGCTCCTATTAAGCAAAGCCATTGTAGGTACTCGGCTGTGCACAATGCTTTAAAATGACTCAGCAGAACAGCAAACGTTATCTTGCCCTGAGCACCGATATGCTTGCGCTGTGGAAACGCAGGACATCATAGCAGATTCCCTGCCTCTTGGCCAGAGCTTACCATAATGCCCTTGGTATTACCTGCAATTGCTGTCTCAGATATGTATGCAACAATATGGGACAAAACACTCCTCAAATGCTGCTTAAAAGCAAACAAAAAAGTATTAGCTTTGAGTGGTTTGACATGTAGCATCCCTGCCCGAGGAAAAAAGAAAGAAGGATCAGAATCTCTGTTATTACAGTAATAATTCGAATGGTTTAAAACCATGGTGGGTACCTGACTGGATAAATTGCCAATTTAAAGCCCTCTACAACAACTAACTAAAAAGTGGGTATGGAGGTAAAAATGCAACAAGTACTGCAGAATATGATTAAAGTAAAAGCAAGCAGAATTTTGGTACTGTGGCTTTATATAATGGTGTGCATTTCCAGAATATTACTATTTTATACTGATTTTTGTAATATTAATATTTGTTGAGGAAAAGGTATGCAGAAAGGGCAGATGTAATTACAAACTCTGCTAGTGGGTGTTCTTACATGGCAGCCGGTGGGGCACAAAATTATTATTAAGCAGAACGCTTTAAAAGGCAACTCCGCTGCCAACATCAAGGACTGCAGCACTAAAAAAATTCCCCTATAAAATACTGCAAGCGAATAAAAACCCCAGCCAGTTGCAAAGGCGAGTTAATTCTGCGTACGCGCCCCGAACGGGAGCGTGCCTGTCTGGTGATGCTTTATTACGTGTGGGGAGGTACGTGGCTGCGCCAAACCAGCAGGCTGGGGCTGCCGGCAGCTCTCGAGCTGCTTCTGCCCCGCGTGTCCTCAGCTGGCCCCAAACCTTCCCCGTCAAGCTTTGGGGGGAGCCCCACGTCCCCCGCGAGTGCAGGGGCTCTGCCACTTTGTCACCGTGCTGCCTGTCCTTGCTGAAAAGCCTGGGCTGGGTATGAAAGGCTGGCGGGTAATCTGTGTTAAAAAGCACCATAAAAATAAGGTTTGGTTTAAAATTACTCTGCGGATATTTGATATTTTTTAAAGTTAATTGTGCTTCTAACCTCGGCGCTAAACACCCCATCACACACACAAAAAGCCGTAACGTGAAATTTGCTGGAAGTGTTGTCGGTAGAAAACATTATAGAGATACCGCTTCAGCAGTAGTGAAATGAGAATCGTCCTTTTTTCTAATTAAATGTTATATCAAAGTGAAGTTCGACAGCTACTAAGTAGTCTTTTAGTGCAACAGTGTGAGTACTACAGTCCTTTAGGGAAGCAGATTTCCACTCTAAGTCTGTCAAAAATGCTGCTAGTAATGCAGAAGGGTTTCGTTAGTCAGCATGGACTATCTGGAACTGTTCTTCCACCGAAATATTTTGGATTTAGAAAGGCCTTTGCTGTACAAACATGAGAGTTAAGCATACGGATGTTTTAGGGGACTGAAAAATGTGTTCAGTATTTTTTTAATCTCTCTACCTTCAAGAAATTGTGCCAGGAGTATGGAGGGCTCAGCTTATCCCAGGTGGCTGAGGGGGGCAAAATACGAACACTTCAACCGCATCCAGACCTGCTTACCTTAAAATTGAGCAACCCCACTGCAGTTTCCACAAAAGGGATAAAATTCATTGGTTCTACAAGTGTTCGGCCTTTCAAGTGGTGCACGAATCTGTCTGCGAACTGAAACTAGACAGCATGAGGCACACGAGAAAAAAGTACACACACGCACACGCAGCACTTTAAATCTTTCACCTGGCTGCAACACTCCTCCCCCCCAAAAAAAAAAGAAAAACAAGAAACCAAAACCAAAACAAGACAGAATAAAAAAACAGACACACACAAAAAAAACCCACAAAACTCGTAACTAAAAATAAGGCAGAAAGCTCTGGTGCAGGCCTGCGGCTGCGCACCTCAAGGATTCAGGGCTCGCTTGTGGATGGTGGGTGCGTGCCCCTGGCCCGGGCTGTGCTGGGTGCCCAACCTCTGTGCCCGCCTTGCCTTGGGTCGGGCACCAGTACCGGTACTGGAACCAGTACAGGCACCAGCACCAGCACCGCCACAGCGTGCCGCCGCCCAGGCATCCGCGTTACTCGTTACGGCACCGCTACCCTTTGTTCAGTAGGCTTTTCTTCATAATTTTTAGCTTACCTAGGAAGGCCTCAAAAAGGAAGTTTAATTCTTTGAAGACCAAAGCTTTCCAATTTTTTCCATGAGACCAGTTCACAGCTAGCTCTGAGCTGCCAGTGGGGTAGCCCAAATTCCAAAATCTATCATCTGGAAACATACAAAAGCTCTTGCACAGATTTTTCCCCTTTCAAAAGGGGGAAAAAAAAGGGGAAAAAAAAAACCCTCAGCCCTATATTGTAAATCTATTATGTCGGTCTAGATCTAGCAATTTGCGCGGATATAAACACATTGCAGGTATGGCAAAAATATTGTTGTAAATAAAGACAAAAATAACATATGCATATATTTTAAATTTAAGGAATATTCGACTATTAATGGATATCAAAGGAAAGGGAATTTTAATCATCTCTCCATTCAGTCTCAGTTGGGTAAATCATATCTAAGAGATTTGCATAAATATAAACCATCAAAGACTTTTCATCTTCAAAGGGGGTTTCAAGACCCTATAAGCTTTGTACTGTAATCATCGCAGGTCACAACCCTGCAGGAATAAGGCTGCTATGGCAACATAAAAAACTAATGCTTAAGGCTTAGCATAATATTCTGACTAATAGAAAGGAAACTCATTTTAAAAGCTGGCAGCCTATTTACCAGAAGCTGGATTAGAGGTGTTATTTCCCCTTTTAGCTTCCCCCCACCGCCCCTCCCCAAAAGAAGGAAAATCTAATCACTGAGATCTTTAAAAAGCTTTCGAGCAATTTGCAGTAACTTTACAATTAGGCCAAAATAAATCACAGCTTTCTCCGACGAAGAATTCTGCCCTTCCCGTCCCTGCTTTGCATCACCACCGGGGCCCTCTCTGCAACTTTTCCTTGGAGAAGAGAATTCCACCCCAAAATGTGCTAGCAAGAAAAAAATCAGTGCAATTCACACATGCAAGTATATGGTTGGGCAGGTACCGGGACAGCACAACACAGTAAACTTTATACAGGCAAACACAGAAAATGAGGTAATAAAATTACATCAGGGTATATCCTGAAGACTCCTATCTGTTTTTTATTTTTTTCATAAAAAAAAAAAAGTAAAAAAGTGTTACTGTGTTTATATTTTAGGTGTAAGTTAAAGCAGTGGAGCTCTTCTTTTATTTTAAAAGATTTTAAAAGTCACACTCCTGAGATTTTTGATGACTTTTGTTTTTTTATTTTTCAGGTAAACAAAAAATAAAGAAAGTTTAATTAAACATTGCCTCCCTTCCTCTTCCTTTTAAAAATTTGCAATAAGCACCGCTACAAAAGGTAACTAGTGGAGAAGTTTCAATTAATTTTTTTCAAAAGGAGACGATTAAATGTTTCCGGCCTGGTAAAGTGTTCATTTCAGGGAGAAGGGGGGAAAGAAGAAGGCGGAGGGAAGAAAACAAAGCTCGGGGAGGGGATGAAGTAGCAGGCCCCCGCAATTCTTTCAGTTCCCGTGCACACCCAATAGTGTGTTGGGAAGAATGCACACTGTTCGGGATTTGTGGGAGAATTGTCCCGCCACAAAGGAGGGAGAGTTACGCTTGTTATAGTCCAATAAGCCATGCCAGTCAAACAAGTACCCACACTAGGGACAAAAGGAGAGCAAGAGATTCTCACACAAAAGAAAACAAGTAAGCCCATCTTTTAGTTGTGCATCAGCCTCCAGGTTTTATGCTCCGCATAAATAAAAATGAGGGGGGAAAAATAAACAGCTTCTCTTAGGCTGGGAGACTGGAAGAAAAAAAAAAAAAAAAAAAAAAAAAAAAGCAGGCAGGAGCGAAGCCGCGGGATTTCTGAAACGAGCCAGCGTCATTAAGCGGAGCACGCTCTTTGTGCTCGAGGGCTCGGCCGGGCGGGAGGGGAGCATGGTGCCGACAGCGGGCATTGAGCCGGCGGCAACGACGGCCGGCCCCGAGCCCCGAGGAGGGCTGGAAGGGGCTGGGGGACCCAGGGGTCCCACCTTCACCCCAGCCCAGAGCCCGCCTCATGGCAGCGAGCACCCTGCCATTTCGAGGGCCCCGCCGTTGCGAGGGCCCTGCCATTTTGGCAGCGTGAATTTTCGCGCGTGACGAGCTACACCCGAGGCTCGCAGGGCTGGTTGAGTCAAAAGTTGGGCCATGGGGACATTGCTGATGGCGAGGCTGACGTGTTTGCCCGGGGTGCCATCGTGTATTGGCTTCAGAATGAAACAGAGGCTCAGGATCGTGCCGTGAAGAAGCCCTGACGCATCTCGCGGCCTTCCGGCTGCTCGGCCAGCGCCTGGCAAAAACAGCGGGCCCAAGCACGCAACGTTGCTCCTTTACGGGCACTGTGCAGAAATAATGGCATAGCCAAACAAATGTCCCCCTTCTTGACAATTAAAACAATTACAGCGTAATTAGGCCTATTTCAAAGTTTTCTTAAGTAATTTGACATGCCAGCCATTTACATTTCAGGTTTTTATTGGCTGAAAAGTCAGTCATGAAACACAAACACACCTGTCAGCAATTAAAAAGGAAGAAATAGAGAACTGCTCAGGAAATAATATCTGTGCTAATTAAAAACACTAGTTAAAAGCTTCCTGTTTGTTCCTCCAGTTGCCCCAAGGAGTGACCTTCCCCCCCCCAGCCCACTTTTTCACATGTTGCTAACATGTTTTCCCCGTCTCCCGCTTACCAGGCATGTGGCTAAGGCACACGGCCACAGACAAGCATTTCGCGTGGCAGAATATCTAGACAAGAGTCAAGAGACCAATGCATCCATTTTTGGTAACATACTCTCTCATCAATATTGACTCCTCATTGACTGCAGGAGAAATAAACCCCATGTGCTTTGCGAAGGCAAGATGCTCCACAAACACTTTTTGTTATAGCACGTCTTACACACATTTAAACAGATCCATTTCCCAGTTACCTTACCCAAGCAACAACGTTACATGATATTTGAGTCGCATCAGAGTCCTCCACCTCTACACCTGGCTGAACTCAGCCCAACAGCTTCAGTAAAAAGCTACTACATTGCTGGTACACAGATATTACTCACCCATCTTATTTCTTCGACATTTTCAACCTTTGGCAGCATCATGCTTGAAGGGAGGGTCTTGGACTGCAAAAGCGTCTCTAGATCTTCCTCTGCGAGGCCACTGGACACGGAGTTTATCCTAACACACTTCTCAGCATGGCCAAAGTCAAACTCTTCAAGTGTTTTCACAACTGTCAGTCTTGCTTCTCTCTGCAGTAAATATATATATATATATATATATATAAAGGCACCAAAAAAAAAAAAAGCGTATTTTCTATCAACTGAAAAGCATGCTGAGCAGAAAACTTGTAGAAGTGATGTGGAGAAAAAGCTAGACAGCCAGTATATTTCTGTCCCCAACATGTCTGTCACTTGTGGTCTTTTATTAAAGCAGTCATCACCAGCACCTCGCAATTCTGCCTTTCTCGTTTCTTTATAACTAGCAAATAAAGTTTTCATGTCTAAATATTTCTCCACCACCACTTGTAGAAAACATGAGTTCTGTGTCCACTGCTACTGACCATGTCTAACAAACACAAATCTGTATACTAACCATAATGTGTCACACTGTCTGTACTCACAAAAATGGAATTTTAATACATTTGCATAAAGCAATTCATTTCTGTAATTCATCTTCATATTGCCTGTGCTCAAATAGCATGGATATCAGTCTGTATAGATGTACATCTACTTCTTTGGCTTTGCTACATCATTTTTCTTTTTCTCCATATAGACAGAGCATATTAAAGCTCATAATAGAGTTCGCAACTTGTCTGTGAAAACAATGCCAAAATAGTTTGTAGACTTTTGTGAACCACCTAAAAAGATATTCTCCTGCTGGCACAAAATAAAATATCCAAAGATGCTTGCGTGGCCTCTCACTATTTTTTGTGAATGTAGATTTGAAAGTCTGTTGAATATTTGATTTGCATTAAGAATACCTGGGTGCTTTTCTGAAATGCAACGCTTTTATTGGCCTCAAGAAGAGGAGGGGCAGGGGCAGGAGAGCACTCGGGCTCCCCACTTCCTGCCCATTTCAGTTTCAGCAACAAATTCCTCCCACTTGCCAACAGCCCCTAACAAATTCTCATTGTCAAAATGAACACTTATCAAAAGTAATTTCATTTGTGAAGAGCTTTTATGATCCTAATAAAACTTTAAAGCTCCTGAGTCGCAAATGTTAAGAAACAACTTTAACAATATGCAGTCGCTGGAGAGAGATACTTTGCAAGAAAACAGGCAAACTCGGAGGGGAAAAAAATCATCAAAGTTAATATCCAGGCTAATACCAATCAGTGAGACAGCAGATGATGGTAGAGTTAAACCAGACGGCTACAGATCTGTGCCTGTGGAGGGGCCAAAGAGGTTTCCAGAGGTGGTGGAAGCGAGGCAGTGGGAGGAACGGTGGTGTGTGGGTGTTGGGTCAGGGACCAGCGTCAGCCTGCCCCAAGCTCGGGGGGCTTGGGCTGTCCACAGCAAGGGTATGGAGAGTCAATGGCAAGCACTGCTCTAACTGGGTAAAGGGAAGGAAAAGTCAATGAAATCTTCAGCTTGGGGCTGCTCTTCATGCTTCTCTGAAGGTTTGGCCCTCAGTCGGAGAGATGCAAACAGCACAGGCATGTACGCATCCCCGTGCTGCCATAAAGGGTTGTGTTTGGAGGTAATTTCTGTAAAATACAGCCCAAAATGTCATAATTGCTGTGAGTGGGCCATCAGGAAATGCATATATGTGCAAAGATGCCTGCAGTTCACTGCAACCAGGTGCAGTTCATCCGAATGCCGTGAACCAGCATGATGCCATTGCTGCTTAGCACAAGTCCACCTCCTTGTCCTTCTCAGGTCAGCGGTGGCTGGTTCCTAGGCTGGGCCAAAAGTTTCTGGATGTGCTGCAGAGCAGTGGCTGAAGCACTCTCTCCAAACCAATTTATGCTTTTAATTAAAGCCAGATTATCACCGTTTCAGCACACACTGATCCAATTTGCAAAATAAAGATCTCCCAAAATTATCCACTAAGGCAGCATCCAATTCCAACTGAAGGCACATCTCTAGAAAACTTGCAGTCTAATTCATTATGATTTTTTTCAGATTATAATAATGAGCAGTAGACCATCTCATTAGCTATTTTTCTCCTCAGGCTGCAAACTCCCTTCCCAAAAAAGACAGATCGTGTCTTTCTAGGTATATTTCCATACAAAGCACTTATTAACAGGCTGTTGCTGTTATCAATTTACATAAACTAAATGTGCAGCCCTCTGGTACGTATCCCAAAAATAACCAACAACTTCACTGAATTTATACCAACCAACAAACATGGGGAGGGGGTTGTTGTTTTTTCCCATATTTTAATAGAAAATATGTTGCTATGTTAGTTAACACACCCATGCCATCTGTTGGGTTGAGAATTGATGCAGCTTCTTAGAGCCACTACATTTTAGATCTGTCTGCCTAGATACCCCAGGAACGGAAACGTCTCCTTTCCATGATAAACTATTTCTAGTCGCTATAGTTTTTGAATCAGGATTCAATCGATATTTTCTAATTGTGGGACAGGCTGATAGGACCTGGTTGCCAAAGGCAGACCTCTCAAGGGGCCTGACTCTGTGCCTGTCCTTCCTACAATATAGGGAATATCCAACAATATAACAAGGAATATTCTTACAATATTGAGAATATTCAACTGATGTTAGTGTGGTATATCAGGTCCTTACCCAAGCTTCCAGTAAAACACATCATGGGTTTAAAAAAAATTACTGAAACCTCTGACTAAATTAAATAAAATAAATACATTTTCCATGGATGAAAAGGAGATACCCTTCTGCCTCATCATGCAATGAAATGTAGATGCTATTGTAATTGTAGGATGCACATGAAAGCCAGGATTTAAGGTAGTTAACCTACTTCAACACAATAGTAAAGAAAAAAGCTGTAGTTGATACAATAACATTTTTGTTGCGGTAGGCACGAGAATAAAAATATTTTCCAAACTGTGTGTAAGGTCCCTGATAAGACTGGTCAAATTTTTCAAGAACAGTAAAAGAAATAATTTACACCATCCTTCACCCTACAGCATGGGCAACACTCTGTCCTGAATGGATAAAGAAATAAGCCTGACAGACAAATGGGTCCACCCTAGGACAGTTGGGAACTGTGGCACCCCATTAGGTGCTGCAGGGGTTGGGCTCTTTATCAAGCTGAACAAGGGAGGAAGACAACTGAACTTCTATGGGAAGCAGTGATGCCATTAAATTACATTCCATTATTATATATCGTATGCTAACATTATTAAAAACTGCTAAATATGCTACTCATGCTGGAAAACCCATTGGAAACAAACATTGTTCATTGTGGCTCATTTTGTATCTCATAGGAGGATGTGGGAAGATTTTCCTTCACGCGTGCAGCTACGCCAACTGGGGAAGACAGAAGCTTTGGTGATGCAGCATCGCAGACGAATCAACCACCACTAGGACACACAGACACCAAAATTAAAGATGGGAATACGTGTGTAGCGGGCTCAATTGGCACCCATTAAACCTAATCACTACCCATCCTCACGAGTTGCTAGCTTTGAATTATCAAATCTGCAAAGAAAACAACATCCGTCCACTTTTACACTCCAGTGGAAGAGGTGGTCCCTCGCGGCGGGGCTGCGCAGTCTCGCCATCTGGAGAATAAATCGAGTGTGAAGTACAGTATAGTTTGGGACCAAGCTCCGTGGCGGCAGCCCAGCAGCGAGTTCATTAGTTCCAAACTTGCAGGGATTAGTGCGGTGTCGGGGCTAGTGTCGGGTGGGAGCAGGCAGGCAGAGCGCGAGACTCGGGGAAGGAGGTGGCGACGGAGAAGGAGCCCCTCGGGTGTGCTAATGAAACAACGAGGTACAAGCACACCTAAATAGGTGCCTTAGGTTACAGCATCAGTATCTTCCCCTGGCATCCGAATCAGTACCTTTCCTTCTTTTTTATTTTTCGTTCTTTAAGTTACAGTCAACACGCCGAAATTTCCGCTCTGAGACAGAAGGGATGGCACAGGAGCGGAAGCTCAGCCACCCACTCACCACGGACATGCTGCTAATAAAGAAATAGTGAAACAAAGACATTCAGAATAATACAGTTTTTGGTGCTGGAACAGCAGAGAAAAATTACATTTCCTTCTCTCTTTTCAAAGTGGTAAGACATCCCACAAAACAGTTTTTGAGCATGGTGATTCCCAGAACTGCCTGATTTTGGGGAGAGTGGGGAAGAAGCGTACACACACAAATATCCCTTCTTCCCCTTGAGTTGTATCTATTTCACTTCATGTTTCTTGCATGTTCTTACCCTTTTCTTTCTCAAGACCTCCAGGTCCTAATGTAAAGATAGTAGGTATACTTAAAGGTATGCATATGTATGGTCCTCATCCTGTTAACATCTTTTCGTAATAACTCTTCATATAGAAATGTAAATACATGATGCACTACAATGGCAGTCCAGAATATATCATCCCCATGGCCATAATAAGTTTGCATGTCTCAAATGGCAGAGGAAAAATTAATTACTATAATCACAATTCAAGTTATTTTTTGTGACAGGTCTGACATGATAAAAACATACAATTATGTGTTAATGTTACTTCCCTGGAGTGGTTTGTTTACGGAGCTTGACATGGCTGAATCTTTTGTCACTTATATTAGTGCGTACACTACAAATGCATCTCTCAAACAAGATTCTGCAAAAGTGCACATATATGCCCACAAAGGATTTTAGGGCAAAATCGAGTTTTACAGAGGGAAAACCTGGCATATATTTACATTCTTGGTCTCCATCAGTGAAGTGATGCCATACAGAATGATATTTCATTTAGTTTCAAATTCACAAATCAGTTTGGCAAGAGAAAATAAAAATTGCATTTGTTTTTAAGGAAACAAAGAAAACTGTAAATGCAGAGCAGAATGTTGCTGAGAACAGGAGGTACTTGATTCATAGCTGTTTGCTACATTATATCTATTAGGTACTTGTAAGAATAAATCTTTAAAATGGCAAATAGTTATTTCTAGCTAGTCTTGTGAGACTGGAAAAAAAAATGTTGTAAAAATATGTACATTGCAAATCCTCCAGGAAGCTGTTACTGAATCACTTCTTATGGCACCTTCCAGAATGGAGTATTAGTTGAGTTTTCAAAGAGTTAAGAAGTAAGTTTTAAAACACATTTTATTTTGGTTCAACAGGGAACAC